ACACACACAGAGACACACACACACACAGACACACACACACAGACACACACACACACACACAGACACACACACACACACACACACACAGACACACACACACACAGAGACACACACACACACACACACACACACACACACACACACACACACACACACACACACACACACACACACACACACACACACACACACACACACACACACACACACACACACACACACACACACACACACACACACACACACACACACACACACACACACACACACACACACACACACCGGGAGCCTGAAATGAGACGCTCAACCATGCGACAGCGTCAAGCCTAGACCCTCAGTTCAATATTCTGTGCTCACACATACATCCCACGAATTGAAGCGCAAGCCGAAATCGTCTTGAGGTGCAGCCCTACTTCTACACTTCCAGCGTTCCGGTGGTTTCTGCCCGGTGATCGAGCTCGAAAGGCCCCCAGGAGGCTCTGGACATCGGGATCCTGCAGCGGATTTCCACCGAACCTGCCTCCTGTTTCTCCCCGCATGTCTAGGAAGGCCCTCCCCAGGCCTTGTAAAGCACACGAGAATCTGCTAGCAGGCAACCGGACATAGGTCCTGGAATCATCGGGCTCCCTTTGGAGTGGGAGGGTGCAAAAAGACGTCGAAACCTTGTATGTGGTGGCTCGTGTGCAGTCCTGTTTCCTTCATGAGGCGGATGCCGGGCTTTGCATCTTGGGACGAGAGGCCTTTGAAAAGACCGGGAAAGGAAGGCGCTTTAGCAGAGCCATTAGTGCCAAGCACGCCCCTGCTGGAAGCAGGCGGCTGGCTTCCGCTGGCTTCCGTGGCACATTTACTGTTTGTCCTTTGTAGGGCGCCCGCTCCGCTCTTGAAACAGTCCGCGGACGGGATCGTCCCGATGCTGATGCACGAATTAGCAGAGAGATTCCCCCGAGTTGCCCATTGGCCCATGCATCAGCATACTGCCAGCAGAAGCACCATGCACCACTATGCTAAACTCTGTTCCACTGACTGTGTCACCTTAGTGCAGATATACCGCAATGACACGTGGTGCATCTCAGGTGTGTGCATTCTCTGTCCAAGTCTACGGTATCAGGGCAACGTGGACAGCGATGCCACTCAATTGGTGAAGCTCTTCCGACCACTCTTTCACTCTTTCTTGACTGGACTCTGCCCGTGAGGTAATTCGAGGGAATCTGTGCATATCGCCACACTTGCGGCCGACATGCGGCAGATCTTCAAACGAAGTGGTTGAATGGATTAATTGGCAGGTGCGACAAGCGCTGCTGCACACCAATCGCGTGGGTTTGTGATACCAGGCTATATTAGGCAGGCTATCGGTGCTCTTGTGATACATTCAGGGCTGTGAGGACGTGTCTCGATTAAATTCATCGTGGAAGGATGATGCTCCTCGTTGCGGGAGTCGTCTCCACGACCTCAGTCACTTGCGTTTGGAAGAGAGTTATAAAGTATCTCGCAAGCAGACGAGACGGAGATGGAAAAAGCCACAGCGTCTTGCTTGAGTTTTCTACCACTCACATGTGTCTTGTCATGGTCTTCGGATGGTCTTCAGTGAGCATATCGCAACTCACAGTCAGATTCTCCAATTTTAATGCTACGCCGTCCGCTGCGGCTCTTTAGCGGCAGGGCGAGGGGGCAGTGGATGTCGTGTACACCATGCTAGGGGGACCTCTCAACCCACCAACGCCGCTCGCTGCTCTTCTGCTGGTCATGCGGCCGGGGGAGAGGGGGGGGAGAGGGGGGGAGGGGGGGAGCGGGGAGGAGGCCTACAAATCAGGTAAAATGAAGGGAAGGGGGGTGGCAAACGAACGCAAAAAACAGGGTGTCTCCAAACTTTCGGACTGCAGGGAGGAGGATTTGGTGGAGGGTACCTGAGGTGGATTATTGCCTCTAAAATGCTGGTGATCAACAACCCGGAGAAACGAGTCGACTGTTTTCGCTTGTGAGAGCCTGAGGCACCGATGCAGAGGCAGCTGCAGATGCCGCCTCGAGAGCGACAGCAAGCATCAAGGAAGTCCAAACGGGAGTTTTTAGGGACCCCAGTACCCGTTACCACATGGAGCCCCAAGAAGGAGTCCCTCAGTGTCAGCCATTGTCAGCCAGAGCAGCGATTCGGCAGGACCAGCTGGTGGTCGGCCAGGAGTCCAGCAGCACTGTCTTTCTGGGCGTCTTGAGCTCGCAGCACTACTTGGTTCGCGTGCGCGCTGGACTCCAAGCTACATCACAGGGTAGAAGTATCTGTTCTCGGTAAATTTACCACTTCCGTCCTCTCATCACCCCTGGTTAAACGAAGCCTATTCAGCACATGCATGGTTTGGAAGCTTGGGATCGAAGTCTATCTCCCAAGTGAAGTCTCAAGCTTGGTCACCATGCGGCCCGAAGAGAGTAGAGTTCAAGGATCCATTCCTTTCGGCTGAGTCACGTGCAGTGTGTCATTTGTTCTAGCCTTGAACATTTGCTCGGAACCTGTCCGAACAGTATTGGCTGATCGGAGACACTCTACAAAGTTTCTGCAGCAATGGATGATCATTACTTGTTTAGGGCGGCGTGTTGCCCTTTGCCGGACATGCTCTGCCGGCTTGTCGAGGCTCGGAATCCCATCGGTGCATCCGCGTGGTCGGACTGGACCCTGCTGCGGGTCTTGCCGGGTGGCCAAGACACGCCTATGGGTGCCGAGGCCGACTTCCTAAACAAGTAAGATGCGGCGGATGTCTGGTGACTGTGCATCTGCGTGCTTCTCAGGAATCTTCCGATTGCACAGCAAAAAACCGGCGCGGTGCAGAACAAACGTTTCACAGAGCTTCGCGCAATAATGCAACAGGCATCTGACCACCATGTCGACACTTCCTCAAACTGCTCTTTCCAAGTTTTAGATTCCAGACTCTGGCTTCGCGATAGTGACCAATAGTGTGCATGGTCATCGGAACTCTGGTGGATCGAGCTGCTTGCAACTCCTTCGTAGATTAAAAAGATCTCACGGTCTGGGTGGTTTTGTGGTGTTGCGCTTGGCGTTCGGGGCTTGGGGTTTAGAGAGTTTAGGGCTTAGGACTGAGGGATACTCGGGGTTTGGTTTTGTGCGGACTTGGTGTACACCAGATTTTTGCATAGGGACGTGCCTCGGCCTTGTGACTCATCATCGGGCCTTTTGGTAGTGCTTTGAGAGTGCGAGCCCCGTTCTCAAGGTCTGCGTGCCCGGATGGTACAGCTCATGATGGCGAGGTCGGCGTCAGAGTGCTACCGCCTCCAACCCCGGCGGTTTTTAGAACATTGATCATAGAAACCTACCGACAATGGGTCGAGCCGGAGGGTGCGTTTCAGAGCCTGCTTCCATCAAGTGCCTTGCACCAGGCTTGCGACGATGGAAACACTGTGAATGGCGACGGCTGCAGCAGCAGTTGTCAGGTGGGCCTCTTCTTTCTTTTGCACGAACGAACATGTTGCGAATGTGAAGGGTGCCAAGGCCAGAGCAAAGCCGTTGTGCGTCAAGAAGACCATAGACTGTCCGTACTTTCTAGCTCTCTTTTCTTGTGCACCTCGACAGTTTCATGTCTGTGGTGTTGTTTCTCATTCTGGGCGTTCTTGCTCTGACCTGAAGCTGTGTCCAGGTGGAACTTGGCTGGACTTGCGAGGCATTTCTGGCAAAAGTCCTTAGCCTGTGTGCGTGAGGTATGCCAAGGCTGTTGAAAGTTAAACCGCATGTGCGGATCCGCGGGGCCAAGCTGCTGCTAGAACATTCTGGTCACTGGGGAGAGAAACCCTACAACGAAGAGAACATAAACAAAGCGCAGTGCTTCGGAAAGGCAAGGATTTTCCAGGAGTTCAGTTCAGATGAGTGTCGTTCACTATAGGAGTGGCGTTTGAGCTGTGGGGTTTTCACCGGAGTTGAGTGAGCGCTGCAGTGCAGCGGAG